ATATAAACTACTACTTACTGCTTGTACTACTATTCCTACTTTATGGGTTTTCGCTTATCGCGGGTCTTCAGGTTACGGATCCCCTGCGATAAACGAGGGACTTCTGCACTCCATAAAGATATATTTAATGCATCCTTTTCAGGCTTTTTGTTATTTTCCTGCTATTTAAAATGATCTTGGCTTCCAGTCTTGATTCTACATTTATTTATTTAGACTAAAGTTTGAAATGGATTGATACTCAGTTATGTAATATAAATATACTTCAGTACTTGAGTATGTTTGTGTTCTTGATTGACACGGTCTGCTGGCTTCCGTAGATAGAGAACTTTTACTAATTGACTTTTGTAATTTATATAAATATTTCTGTTCAGTGCCCAGAGACGACTTCTGTTGTGACTTGGCGCTTTATAAATAAACTGAATTGAATTTAACTGATTTGATCACTTGTTGGCAAATATTTTAAAATTCAGCCAATAATTACACTATTGTTAAATTATAACCGATTTATTGACTTAAATGTTTGAAAATGAATGTCAGTGTTTTGCAAAGAGTGTGAAATTTTTTTTAAAGCCTCTTTAAGTCTATTTAAATTTCCACTAGCTGAAGGGTTTTTAGGGCTTGCATGGCCCAACAAATATTTTGTGAAACAAATAAAAAAAATATAAAAAACAACAGCAATTTTTAAATTAGCTTCAGAGCAAATTCAATGTGTTTCAATAAGGCCACACCAGTTGAGTATCATGGCGACTAATATTGTTAAAATGTTATTTATCCTATTTTACAGTGTTTAAAACAGTCGTAGCAGATGAGAAATGCACTTAAAATACTGATGCAGGTAACTTTTGGGATTCGGTGGGTTTTATTTGCTTTTGTGTCATTTTTCCCCCCCAGATCCGAATTTGTGACCCTAATCAGGGTGGCAAAGATATAACGGATGAGATCTTGGCAGGAGGCTCAGGAAGCAGGAATTCAACGCCTCCCATTGGTCCCCACTCCTCCACCCCTACCCCACCCCAGGTACAGCTCTCCAGCTCACTCACCATCTTCTCACCTGCAATACAGCGATGTTGAAGTAGCCGTCTCGTGTTGCCTAATCTCAGTGTGAGCTCTCTGCTCCGGTGTTTTCTCTGCCACCGTGTGCGAGGTCAGCAGAGCCGTGAGGACGGCCATTCTTGTCATTTTAATTTATTAGGACGGTCTAAGAGTCATAATAAGTGTCCTGATGGCTTTCAGATCACTTTATGCTTGTGGTTTATTATTCAGGACCTGCCATTGGGGAAAAATGAATTATTAGATTATATCATTTGATTTTTTTGTTTGTTTTTAACAATAAAACTAAATATAAATATGTTGAGAGTATAACATAAGGATGACAATAATCTAACATCGTCATTCATGTGACATGGTGGATGTGGTGCCAGAGCTCATTCAAAACACTTTACAGTTTATTGTCTTGTTCTTTCTTTGCCATCTTGTTGACATCTTTTAATTTACGCCTACTCTCTGTTTGATTGTCTGTACTGTGTGTAAATTTCTGCGTTTTCTACAAAGTCCAAGTTGATGCAATGATCTTCCCGAGACACTTTAATGTCTTCTTGCTAATAATACGTTGATTTAGTTTGGTGTAGTTCTTGGAGTAACTTTGGGATTGTAGTGAAAAGTTCTGGCCCACAAACAAACGAGACGAACCATTTTCAAATTGAATAACTTGTCTGGATTCTGAAGAAAAGTACGACTTCTCTCCCTCCCTGTGTCTTTCTGTGGGTGTTAACTTGGTTTTTTTTTTTGTCCTTTTGTACCCCTTCTTTTTTTAATCTTTCTTTATTCACCCACCTTTCTTTTAAATTGTCCTGAGCTTTCATCCTTCTCCTGTCATTCCCTCTGCTTTAATCCACATTGTCTTTCTTGTATTTTTGAATACTTATCTTAATGTAACCATACATCGTTGAACTCCTTTTTTTTTAATTGTTTTTGCTTTATCTTGCACTTGGGCTCGTTTATTTGTGCACTTGCTTGCCTGCGTCCCTTCACCTCTCTTATTTTGTGTGTTGCTAGTTTTTATGGCCGCACCCTCATTATCCTCACATTTTCTACCTCAAATCTAAGCAGCTGAGCAGCAGCCAGAGCCCGGAGCAGCAGCAGCCATCGCAGGCTCCACCGCCTCAGCAGCAGCAAGCTCATCCCAGCAGCCACATGTTGGAGCCGCCGCAGACACCACACACTACACAGTCCCTAAAGCCGCTGACAACTGGGGCTTCAGACACCAAACCAGGTCCAGGTCCGCCATTAAATCCACTTTTATTTTTCATAGATATTGTTTGCAAGTTCTGAAAAATAGGAATGCACTCTTTATCAGTCGAACCAAGGGAGTTTTAATTAGGATCGGGCAGTTGGTTGACTATATATTTTTAATAGGATGATATCGTTCACTGTTTTACTAGGTTAGTTTTCCCGTTCATTTTGATCGTCTAATTTTTAAGATCATTAACAGACAACAGCTGAACATGCCTATAAAACGGCCCACGATTGTTTATATCTAAATAAAATGAAACCCCTCTGCACTCCACTGTTTTTGTTTTTTACAGCTCAGCAGGTGGAGTTAATTAGTTCAGTTGATACGTCGTCGTGATTTCACAATCATCACATTATCGATCAGATTTTTACAAGCTATTAATAAACACTGCCTCAAGAATTAAACACATGTTTTATTTGCGTCACTAATATCGGTAAAAGCTGTGGCAGGTCCGTTGCACCGCGGACTTCCTGTCTCTCATTTAGGCTCTGCTGTTTTCACAGCTTCCTTTTACTCTAACGGTAAATGCTCAGACATTATGGATGTCGTTTCCCTCTTATTACAACACCTCACACTCACAAAACTTGGATTTTCATTTCTCTTCAAATGAAGAGTCCATGAACGCCGTCCCTTGTAAAACTAAGCAACTTTCTTCTTTTTTATCTGTTTCTTAGATTTACTGTTTTTAAGCTATATTTGTAAGCATGTTAATACTGCATGGTGCAAGTCTTATTTGGACTTAGTTTTATAAATTTTGAAACCATTTGTTTCTGTCTGTCTTTTTTCAGTTGATATGCCAAAATTGGAGCAAGTTGTCCAGAAGTCTTCCTCTCCTGTGCTCGTGCAGCCTGAGGCTCCTTTAGAGAGGCTGGAGGCCAGCGTTCCTGTATCTGAGCCCCTTGCCTCTGTCAAACCAGAGCTTCCCTTCATTGCCTCGCTCACTGCCACAGTAACTTTACCAAACACAGTGGCCAACACCAGTGAATGCTCCTCAGCCAGGGAGTCCACTTCTTCAGCCTCCTCTCCCTCCTCCTCTATTGGGGAGATCAAACCATCTCTGGTAACACCTCAGATGCCCACCACAGACAAGCCTCTTTCAGATTCACCACGATCTTTAGCTGCTTCTCCGTTGCCCGCTCTGAAGGCTTTGAATGGCCTTTCAGACTCTGGAAGTGAGCTCGACGCAGTTCCTTGTGAGCCCTCTCTCCTGCCTCCAGCTGCGCTCCATCCCCAGGTGTCTGCTCTTACTTACAGAGACACCTCCCCTTCTGAATCCTTGTCTTCTGACGTGAGGACGGATGTACCGATGGCTGCTGCGCTGTCCCCACTGTCACCTGTGGCTGTGGTGCCAGTCACCCTCACCTCGAACCCCATTCCAGCTTTGCCAGTAATGCTCCCCCCTGGCCTTCCGCCTCTAGTGCAGGCCACAGCAGAGGCAGATGAGCTGAGTAAAACTTTAGACACTAAGGACCTTCTTACCAGAGGCGGGACAGAGGCCCACAGTGTCACCAGTGAGAGCAAACCCGAGGCCCAGCAGCAGGCACTTACCAGGAGGAGTCCCACTACAGGTAATGCCTTGATTTCTTGTGAAGAAGTAGCTTTTAAATACATCAATTTTTTTTTTACATTCAGAATATTGAAATGCAACACCTCACTGATGTTTGCTGGCTAACTGCATGTTCCTACAATTTGTTTTTTGCAGTCAATCAGACTTCTTCCACTGTACCAAAGACCTGGAGAAAACCAAATGAAGTGATCTTTGCTGGAGAGGCATCTCAAAAGGAGGTCGAGGTCAGAAAATATGATTTTTATGATCCAGGCTGAAGTTTGGTTTAAAATGACACCGTACAGATGCAGTTCCCTTCAAGTTGTGTTTATTTGCCTGTTTGGTTCAAAGCTTGTAGCCTCTTGAGGTGCAGACAAATGGTTGGCATTTTGTTTTGTAGCAGGCTACAGTGTCAAAATGGGGACAGTGAGTTGGGTAGAATGGGGAAAGGAACAATGTGGGAAACGGTTCAAGTGGAAAGTGCTTCCACATGTGTGGAGAGAGAGGCAGACATGAATGACTTTGGGTTGCTGCTATCGTTTGTGAAAAGCAGCAAGACGTTATCCATCATCTTCAGTGTTCTCCCTGAACGTAAAATGGTCTCTGTGTGCTCCTTCTGCTTCTTTGTTGCTTAAGACTTGTAGCAGTTTTCACATCACGAAACACTGGTGATCAAACAAATGGCTTTAAACAACTTAATAATGTCTTATAAAATTAAGTTTAAAATGTACAAATTCATCTTCTGTGTATTGAACTATTGATAGAAATGCACACAAGACACAAGCGTACAAAGACAGACACTAGAAGAAAAGTATTTGAGGTATTCATGTCAGTTCTGCTTGTTGTTACAGCGCGCGTCTTTTCAGAAAACATGTACCTGCTGACCAAATGTTGGAAAGAGATTTAAATCTTTAGATGGGGTGAAGCTTCTTTAGAAAATGCTTGTAAAACATCCTCGCACCTTCAGGAGCTTTTTGCCTGAGATAAAATCTCAGACATCATTTTGAGCTTCAATCAGGACGAGATGTTCCGGATCCACTCGAGAGTCGCTGAGCAAGAACCATCTTTCCACTTTTGCTTGGCTGCATACCAGATCAGAAAGTGCGCGTGTGTGTTCTGTAAACATGACGTGAACGCACTGTACACTGACGAGAACAGAGTGAAACTTGAGCTTTAAATCTCTGTCATCGTTTGATGTGCTCAAACCCTGACAGGGTTGTGAAAGAACTCTAGAGATCTCTTTGTATTTTTATGGAGAAAAAAATGTAAATAAAGTCAACGACGTCTACAAATATAAAAATGGATAAGCCTAAAAGTCATAGCACATTGTTACTCAGCAAGCTGAACATTGTATTATATGAATGGTTAAAATAGCACTAGGTATTTGCAAATAGTTTGATAGCAGAAAACTATAAACAGGCAAACGAATAGTGTGAATGCTGACTCGGCATTCACACAATCCAGGATCTATGAATTCAGCCAGTTGCTGTTAGTTTTGTTGGTCGCATTTTGCCATAATTTATATAGTTGCGTTTCATACACCTGCATTAGTAGGAAGAATATCAACTTCCACCTGTAAGGTCTTGTCTGCTTCTGCAAGTTTTATTTCACCTTTCTGTATTAACTTTTTATTTTTTTTTTATCCTATTCAGCTCATTTTATTTCTCTTTTATACCTGTACAAAAAGTACTCCAAATAAAAGTATTTTTTCAGATAAATTAATCTCACTTCCACACAGGATGAGGCCACGGTTGTCGATCAGCCTGCTGGAGACCAGGCCCTTCAGTCAGCTCCTCTAAGCTGCAGCCCCACACCGCTGCCATCAGTCTTCCCCTCTGCTACTACTCCGACTCCTGCTCCCGCCACCAGCCCACAGGCTGACGGAAAGCCCGCCACTCCGGAGGAAAACGGTGAGGCAGAGCTGGAGCCCATGAGGAACGGAGCAGGTCACATCTCGGAGACTGAGAGCAGCGACAGCGGAGTCGCTCCTGGCGACAAGGAGAACTCAACGGGAGCTTCACAGGACATGGAAGGTTAGAAGGACCTGAATACTTCTGAGTGATTGAATGTTTGTAGAACTGTTAAAGGCGCTCACTTTAGCTTCAACAATTCTATGACGGTCTTTAACATTTACCTGGACTTTTTTTTTTAAATCTCCTACCCTGTTCATGGTCCAGACCTGGCTGAGCCCAGTGGGAAGCGACAGTATGGCAGAGATTTCCTGTTAGGCTTCCAGTTCACGTCAGCATGCATACAAAAACCTGAGGGCCTCCCACCGATCAGTGATGTGGTGTTGGACAAGGTACGTGCACTGTGTTGATTTAGACTTTTTGCATAGTTTATGTAATGAAAATTGCAAAAGAATTTTCTAGGAATGCATGATATTGGATTTTTGGCCGATGTCCAATATTCCGATATGTTAAAACTTATTTGGCCAATAACCAATACCGATATTTTTCATATACTTTCCTTTGTCAGAACATATTCCTCTTATTGAGGCTTATTGGCTACAAAAATTGTGCAACAGCTGTAAGAGCTGGTGACGTATATTAAGTAGCAGCCATATGCGTAGCACTTTAACTTATATTAAATGAAAAGTGTTAAATGTTATTTATTAGCATTAGTCACCTGCGACGCTGTCTCACTTGTGGAGGCTTGTTCCAGGTTCCTATAGCTGCAGTGTTTTTTTTTTTCATTGACCCTTTATTTATCCAGGTAGTCTCATTGAGCCACGAGAACTCATTTTCAAGAGAGACCTGTTTAGGAGCAGATGGTGGGGGTTAAGGGCCTTGCTCGGGGGAGTGGGGCCAATGAGGGTGGAGGCAGGTGTGGGTGTTTCACCTTTTCCACCCACATTTTGATGTTGACTGTACCGGGAGTTGAACCTGCGACTTTCCGATCACAGGCCCATCTTCTAACCTCTGCGCCACCGCTCCCCAAGTGTGGGATCCTCTGCACTCCTGTGCATGAAGGACAGCCTTTTTAAGTTCAAAGTGTTTGTCTATCCATTGTGCCGTAAGGCTAATCATGCTAACGGGGCTAACACTGTGGTAAAACTCACCCAAGTGCTATCGACTATTAGCTTCTCAATGACGGCGGAAATGACGGCTTGTAACTCGGGTACACGTTACGTCGGAAAAATATCTCTGACTGGGGACGATGTAGACGCTGAACAACGTAGTCCAAATATTCTCAACGGAAAAATAACTTCCGCACTGCCGACATTTTGACTTCTTCCTCTCCGCCGTGAGATCAGGTGGGCGCGCGTGACGTCATCACGTTGTGCTGCAGCTGCAGGCCGATACATGCCGATAATATCGTGCATCCCTAGAATTTTCTTATTTGTTGTCCAGGGCTTCAACTATTGCTGACTTATTCTGACTCCTTTCTGATTTGACGAGATCTTTCTAGACAAAGTTCGTTTAAGTCCGATGTTTGTTTCTTGTTTTGCATTTTCAGATTTGTAACTGTTAGTTTAAATATTTGAGTGAGTACTACAATTTTTTTTGTTATTCTCACACACATAATTGCTGAAGTAATTTATTATGCTGCACTCATTTGAACAGCACAGTTGGTCATTTTGGCTGCAGTCATTTTGAAGATAAAAGCACATCTGCCACAGAGTGCTGCTTTTATTTATGATCAGTTTATTGTTCAAGTCTGTATAAAGCGGTGTCTTGTAGTTTTTTCAGATGAAATGTGAATCTTTGTGATTATTGTGCATTTAATCTGATTTTAAGTCACTGTTGTTGGGTTGACTGGATCACGTTCACACCAGTTTGATTTGCTCTTCCGATCCACATTTACATCTGGGTGGAGCATATGGCTTTCTGAAATGCTGTTTTGATTAAAATCACTTTGCTATTATGTCATCGTTGGCAGCGGTAAAAGTGCACGCCCCTCCTCCACCCCTTCAAAAAGAAAGACCAGGCTGGTGAGCAGCAGATTGGTCAGTCTCAAAGTTTCATTTTCTCACTGTGAGAAAGTGAAACTTTGGATGAAGACATGAGAGGAAGTCGACAGCTGAACAACAAAGAGCTGGATTTGTTCTCCTCCTCCCCCACAACTATCTCACTCTCCTGCGTTCCTTTCCTCTGTCTCCCCCCACATCTGATTCTGACCTCTCTTAAGGGCCTTCAGAGCAAGCCAAGCGTGACTTAATACCAGTTCAGTTAGCATTCATAAACCAAAAGCTGATAATGTAGTGTTGCTGTCATTTCCAGCAGGTCACCTTTAGAGCACCACTGGGTTTGAAATTCACACATTCCCTCAGTCTTGTGCTGACTTTGTGATGTCTTGCTGGAGGATCACTGCTCCCCCTGCTGTTCAGCTTGTCTGACTGATGAAGTTTCTGTTGTGTGTGTCCAGATGAACCAAAACAAGATGCCGTCTCGTGTGGTGGACTCCAGGGTGATTTCCAGAGGACCCGATTTCACACCTGCTTTTGCAGATTTTGGGCGGCAGATGACGGGAGGACGAGGCACCGCAGTAAGCCATGCTCTCTAATAAAGAAGTCATTCAAAAGTTTCAACACATACTCATACACATCCCTGTCTCTACTCCAGGGATGATACGGTGGATGGCAAAAGTATTCAACCCTCTTAGTTTATTTTTCCTTATAGTTGCCTTCCAATGTGGAACGTAACCTCAGATTAATGAAGTTAAACGGGAAAAAAAAATTAAATTCTAATAAAAAATAAAAAAACTGTATAAAACTGAAAGTGTGTGCATAAGTGTTCAGCACCCAAAACTCAATACTGCATAGAGCCACCTTTTCCAACTGTAAACGGCATCGAGTGTCTTCTGCTACATCTCAACGAGCTCTAACCACTGGAGCCCATTCTGAACGACCTAACTGCTCCTTCACGTTGCTGCTGTCCAACAATCTTTAAATCAAACCAAACCAGTCTTTGGCTGAACCATTCCAGGACTGCATCTCCTTAAACCAGTGGAGAGTTGTTTCAGTGATGTGTTTAGGGCCATCCTGCTGGAAGGTGAACCTCCGTCCCAGTTTCAGATCTCTGGAAGTCTCCAAAAAGTTCCTCTTAAGAATTCCTCCATGCTTTGCTTCATCAAGCTTTCATTCAGCTCTGACCAGTTTCCCAGTCACTGCTGATGGAAAAACAAAACATCCCTTTAATGGAGCTCTGTGAGATGTTCAAGGTTTAGGGAATATAATATAACCTCGATTTGTATTTCTCTACAACTTTGTCTTTGACCTGTGTGTAGAGTGCTGGTTTGATGGCAGCTCTTATTACTTCAGTGTTTCGCTGGTGTTGATTCTGGGCCTGTTGCAACAAGATGTAGATCATCGGACACGTTTAGCTCCTTTTACACAGATTGCTCACAGGTGGAGCTTCTTTTTTAACAAGTTATGTGGCTTCTGAACGTAATGGTTAAAACTTTAAAGCAAATGGGATGAATACTTGTACATGTTTCAGTTTTATATATATATGTTTTATTTTAAAAAGATAAACCGTCATAAATTTGGAGTGTGTTGTCAAAAACATTTTGTTTTGTAGATACAGTAGCCAACTGTAAAATAATTTTGTCATAGTTGGATTTCATTGTATATCTGTTGTCCCTTGATAAAATATTTTCTCTTATTCCTGTTCAAATCCAGTTCAATTCCTTTGTAAGGCACCAACGACATCAAGACTTTATTAAGTTGATCTGTTTCATTTTAAATTTTCTTAAGAAGTATGGCGTTTCCACTGGGTCAGGTGCCCTTTTTAAATAAACCAGCTTCGTAATTTATGGTACTACAAATAATGTACAACTATTAGAATATACCAGCTGAAATTACAAGCTAAATTTGGCTTTCTGCTTTTGGCATTATGTCTCAGTGTTTCTCTTGTAGCACCTTGTTAACTTCTTTTACAGCTCCTGAACATTGGACAATGGCGACCTCCACCCAAGAAGATCATCATTGACATGTCGGTTAAGGATAATGTTCAGCTGAAAAAAGCAGAGAACGCGTGGAAACCTGGCATGAAGAGGGAGGGCCAGGCAGAGGACACAGAGGCACAGAAAACACAGGCAAGAGAACAAAACCAAACGCATCCAAACACAAAGGAAATGCAGATAACTGAGCTATATTGAATATTTAGACTGAATCCCATCAATATTCTCCACAGTGTGACTGAAAACGGCGTTTAACTCTAGATTCTGATTACTTTGTCACAGGAGCTCTTCAGGAAGGTACGAAGCATCCTGAACAAGCTGACGCCTCAGAAGTTCAACCAGCTGATGAAGCAGGTGACGGATCTCACCATCGACACGGAGGAGAGGCTCAAAGGGGTCATCGACCTGGTGTTTGAAAAGGCCATTGATGAGCCCAGCTTCTCTGTGGCTTATGGAAACATGTGTCGCTGCCTTGCCACGGTAAAGTCAGCCACTGTCAAAACCTAGCAGACTAAACTGTTTCTTTGTAGCTACTGTCCTTATTGTGTCAGGCGCTCATGGTGCTTCACAGTTAGCATTGAAAGAGGGAAAACTATCAAAAAATGTAATTGAGCCACATTTGCAGAGGCTTCCATTTGGTCTTAATTATTTTTTTTAAAGTCTTTTGTTCTATATCTTGCTGTGTTTTTTGGCCGCAGCTCAAAGTGCAGATGACGGACAAACCCAACTCTACGGTTAATTTTCGAAAGCTGCTGCTAAATCGCTGCCAAAAGGAGTTTGAGAAAGACAAGGTGGATGACGTGGTGTTTGAGAGGAAGCAGAAAGAGCTGGACTCTGCTGCATCGGTTTGTTGTCCTCTTGGCTCTTCGTCCTGTTTTTGTTTTCTGCATTTTTATTGTAGGAAGAGAATAAATCTGTATTTATTTCACCTCAGGCCAAAAAAAGAAAAAATATCAGTATAGTTGAATATTTTCCTTTTGACTTCAGACAACGGAGCGTGAGCGGCTGCAGGAAGAGCTGAAAGAAGCCAAGGACAAAGCCAGACGACGCTCCATCGGCAACATAAAGTTCATTGGCGAGTTGTTTAAGCTGAAGATGCTGACTGAGGCCATCATGCATGACTGCGTGGTCAAGCTGCTGAAGAATCACGATGAAGAGTCTTTGGAGTGCCTGTGCAGACTGCTCACCACCATCGGGAAGGACCTGGACTTTGAGAAGGCCAAGGTGAGATGCAGTCAAAGTAGAGCTGGAACAGAAATCAAAAAATCTGTAGTTTGGTTCTCTTTTTGTCAAGCTAGAGAAATACGAAACATCAGTAACAGATAATCCACCATTTACCCTTTTTACAGTCATACTTATCCCCGAGGACATTTCATGCAAGAACTGAAGGAATGAAGCAGTTTGGCATTAAGCATGTCACTGTGACAGACTTCTGTTAAAGCTGGATTTGATTTTTTTTACAGTAAACAAAAATACATTGCTTAATTTTAAAATGCTTTTCATTTATTTAGCAAAACAGGTTTGCCTTCACCAAACAGTTGTTTTGGAGTTACCTTTACTATCTGCTGGCTGCAGTGAGCTGCTCTCATAGCTGGTGCCGTCTGTTCAAGTGGTGGAGAACATTTGTCATGTTGCCATCTGATGTGCTAACTTTGATTAAAAACTGTTTGTGCCTTATGATTTGAGGAAAAGCCAAACCACTTTCATATAACGGAGTTAACGTTATTTTTAGGCGCCAACTCCCCCGTTTTGGTTTCATTTTCACTTTTCTGCCACACTCTAAGAAATCGATGGTGTTGCCTATAGTTTACTTTGACTGGTCGATCGCCCAGGATTCGGCAGACTAAATGGTGTGATAGATTACTGCAAAGCATAGAACAGCAACAGATAGAATGTGCTGTACGGATGATCCTCTGCTTTAGTTGGTTGTCAACACAAAAATCCTTGTACAGTAGATCTGATCTGGCTGCTGCACTCGGTCTTTGTGGTTCTTTACAAGGACAAGGTTTTTTTTTTTTTTTTACACAAACAATGGAACGTTTGTGTCCTAAACCGAGAAGGGTGAACCCAACAGTTTTGTTCTTTTCATAAACGTTTAGACCCCAAAAAGAAAGTCAGTGGAACATGAAAACATGAGCTAGCAACGTTTGTGATTAACCCAACTTGAAGTTTTTGAAATACTTATTTACAAAATACCACATAGTCTGTGCAAAAAATAATAAATAACAATACAAAAAAAGATTGATGTTAATGATTTATTAGGTACAAAGAAACCGAACAAGTCTCCAGTTAACTGAACAGATATGATTTGTGGCTCTCTTTGCATCTGTTTGTGCCCACTTCACTTGTTCAGATTTATAGCTGCACTGACTCAGTTGTTCAACTCTGGAAAAAGCCTGATGTTTAGTTACGGTTGCAGTGAAATCTTATCCAAGTCGTGGTTTTAGAGGCATAAAAAGTGATGGCTGTGGTGGGATTTGATCGGATGTTGGCTGGACTACTTTAATTTCCACAAGCGAGAGAGAAACGATCTGTGTTGGGTGTAAGGAAACAGGGATGCTCCTGCTTTGTTCTCCTGTAGACATCAGCTGGACACAGTGTCTGGACAGACGTCTGCACTGTGATGTTGAGTTGAGCTTTATCATTAACATGCTAAAGAAAAACAAAACCTTTTGAGAAGCAGGAAAATATTCAAAAATAGCGTTCTCCTTTGCTGCTCGAGTGTAAATCAAGGTCTTATTATTTTTGTTTAATTTTCTTCAGTGCATTTTCTGAACCCATTATAAGTTACTAGATTATAGATGACTGGGTTCATTCTTCTTTGTTTTAATTTTGAACTTAAGGACCGCACTTTTCCATTTCTTAAACCGAACTATGATCTGGAGTTGAGCTGAACAAAGTATAAAAAGTCTTAATTGAGCAGAAACTATAAGAATTTTTATTTCTGTCACCAGCCTCGCATGGATCAGTATTTCAATCAGATGGAAAAAATCGTCAAGGAGAGGAAGACGTCGTCCAGAATACGGTTTATGCTACAAGACGTCATAGACTTGAGATTGGTGAGTGTGTGATTTAATACTTGTTTTAATTTTCACAGGTGGAGAATCCAAAGTTCTCATACTTTTATTATGCTTTCTTTCCCACTGAGGCTTGTTTCAATGTTTAGTTGTTTTTTTTTTTTTACATCTCTGGAACATGATATTGTGTGATTTGAACATAGTCTGACATCTACTACAACTCTAGGTGTTAAAATTTAACTTATTTGGGGGGCGGGGTCGTTAAGCATCCCTGCTTAAAATATCTGTTAACCCCTAAAAAACCAATTTGTAAAAATATATATATCTTCACAAGGTATAGGATTTCAAAAATAAAGTATGCAACTTGAAAGAAGCTTATTGGATGCAACTTAGAAAAGTTCATGGCAATCAGCTTGCTCTGTCTCCATCTTTGTGTGACCAGGTGGTGCAAGTGTTCCAGGTTTATTAACGTTTTTGACCCTTTAAAGCCCGTCCAACAGTATTTATTTGACTGGCACTGTGGAAGATAAAATAACTGATGTCCGCATAGCAGGAGAAGGTTTTCAGGGAGGCGTTCTCTCAATTTGAAATACAATTAATATAATATAATTCAGAGAGGGCAGTTAAGCAGAGCTGTAGAGGTCATGTATAGCTGAAGTTTGGAACTGAAGAGAACAAGTAACGATCCTTGTGAATGGATAAAGTAAAAGAAAAAGCTCTTTAATGGATAAAAACAAAGAAGAGAGGTTAGAAAAAGAGCCAGGGTTACGTTAACCTAAAGGTTTGGGTCCAACTTCTAGTAGTTGTCATCTTTTATATTGTATCTATGTTGTTCTGTGCCCGTCACTCTGCACACGACAGTGTTGGGAGTGGGCGAGATGGCAACAGTATAATATCACAATGTTTTTACACAATTATTTTTGTTATTTTGCAAGTTACAAAGCAGCGCAAAGAGTGTTTCTAAAATAAAACAGCTCTACGGGGGGTAAATATAGATACTTGAGACTTGACACACACTCAGTCTGAGCCTTTTTCACCTAACCCAAAAAATTTATTTTAATTTGAAAAGTAAACATCACCACTCAGGTAAAGTGCACTTGTGCTGCATGAAAGCTCGTTTATGGAGCATCAAATCAGTTTGTTCCCTTCACTTGTTTATGAGGCAGCACTCAGTCCATATGAAGCATATTTAAAATGGGTAAAATAAAAGTGTATACATATTCCTGTATGATATATTTTATTGTAAACAGAAAAAAATGACTCGAGTATTAAACTAACAAAGAAAAAATTAGTTTGAGACCAAACTTGTCTGGCTCTGAGCTCAAGTTGCTACTTTGAGCTTTAAATGAAAAACAAGTCCTCATAAATTCCTTGGGCTATTATTTAATTGGCTTTTTTAATTTAATTTAAATCAGTTTTATAAAGTAAATGTTATTCCATTTTTTTTTTTCCTCAGCACAACTGGGTGTCCAGGAGAGCTGACCAGGGCCCCAAAACCATTGAGCAGATTCATAAGGAGGCTAAGATTGAAGAGCAGGAAGAGCAGAGAAAGGTGCACCAGCAGCTGCTCTCCAAGGACAGCAAGAGACGGCCAGGTCAGTCCTGCAGCTTAAATCCTCTTGAAAGCTTAGAATTGCAACGACACAGCTACAGCCATCCAGGAACCCTGCAAGTGCAGACTTTCTTGTAGCATGTAGCATGCTGAGATGCTATTGTGCTCAGCAGCAGACAGGAAGCCCCCTACTCCCTCCCATCTGTCAGCTGACCTATAATATCTCATCACGTATAACACACTGGAGGAATGTCTTCCTGTCAGCACAAAGACTGTGAAATACCTCAGATTCTTCACAGAATTTATGTTAAAAATAGCTCCAAATTTTTATTTATAAACTTCCTTCATGTGCTGCTTTAATTTGGTGCCGTAGATCCGCGAGAGCAGAGGGAGCAGCGCACGCAGAGAGAGGAAACCTGGAACACCGTGCCCATGACAAAGAATAGCCGGACCATCGACCCCAATAAGATCCCAAAGATCTCCAAGGTGAGTCAAGGGGCCTAGGTGGGTTGAGAACATTGATGAGCTTAGATCTTCAGCTGGAGCGGGGTCACAAGAAGGCATTTGCTCAACTGGTACATAAATGTTAATCAATCCACTGGTGTCACTGCATTAAATGATGCAGATGCTTCATTTTAAACTGTTGGCTGCTGATTATCTGGCAAAGATTATTTAATTATTTTCAAGGATGCATAAAATTCATATTAGCACCAGCTTATTGACTAATAAGGTGCCTAACAAACTGATTTAATTCATGAAGCCTGGATGATGTGTATGTGCAGCACTGTAACTTTGCTTTTTATGTAGTAATCAGTCCTCTAGAAGCCATCATATGAAAAAACTCATAAATTAGAGCAACATTATAATATTTTAAGACTTCAGATCATATAAATTGTTTGATTTATGCACTCTTTATTATTTGACCTGACTGCACGGCGCAGATTGTAGCTTACTGCAGTTAATGGAAGTAGCATTCCTTGAAGGAATGCATGTTGCCCACTGCCTTGCAGGCCAAAGTTTTAGACAAAGATGTTGGTCAGATCTGTTCAAATTCGGGCTGATGGTCCTTCTTGAGCATGTGATCAGCTGGTTTTGGTTGTCAGCAGCAAAACTGGTTGATCCACTCTGAGAAGGTGCTATTTATAAGACTGAGCTGAATACAGCACCTCAGACTGAGGAAGTCTTTTGGATGAGAGACTAAACGTTTCTACATTTTTTTGTTGTTGTTTTGCTTTGTTTTGTTTTTTGAATGTCCAGAGGACCAGATTTAACTCTTTTAGAAATTCAAAAATACATTATTAATCCGAGAGGGGAATTAAATTAAAAACGGTTGAATAAATGTTGTGGTAACTCATCATCCTGGCTTCATTAAAGAGTTGCTATAGATGCTGATGGCTGTGGGCAGGAAGGATCTCTTGTAGAGGTCTGTCCTACAACGGATCTGAAGAAGCCTCTGACTGAAGACACTCTGTTGTTGTATGACAGTCTGATGAAGGTTAGCGCTCAGAGTATGGTTAGGGGATGACTCTCGGCAACCACCACACCAAATTTCAGATCAAAACCTGTAAAAATGACCAAGGTTTGGGCTTCTTTTTTTTTTTTTTTTTGCTAAAGTTGTATCTGTGACATCCAGCTTGAATTATAGTGGTGCTTGAAAGCTTCTGAAGGCTTTATAATTTTCTACATTTCTGCATAAATATGATGCAAAACATCATCAGATTTTCACACAATTCCTAAAAGTAGATAAAGAGAACCCAGTTAAACAAATGAGACAAACATATTATACTTTGTCATTTAATTATTGAGGAAAATGATCCAATATTACATATTTGTGAGTGACAAAAGTATGTGAACCTCTAGGAATAGCAATTAATTTGAAGGTGAAATTAGAGTCAGGTGTTTTCAATCAATGGGATGATGATCAGGTGTGAATGGGCACCCGGTTTGATTTAAAGAACAGGATCGATCAAAGTCTGCTCTTCACAACATGTTTGTAGAAGTGTATCGTGGCAGGAACAAAGTAGATTTCTGAGGACCTCAGAAAAAGTGTTGTTGATGCTCATCAGGCTGGAAAAGTTTACAAAACCATCTGTAAAGAACAAAGTCCATGCTCAATAATCCAGGTATACAATCCAACATTTTTCAGTCAGATCATCTGGACAGTTTCTATTTTTTTTGTGCTGAAACGTTTTGCCTTCGGTCCGGAAGGCTTCATCAGTCAAGGCAACACACAACAAAACTGATTCTTCCCCCATCTGTAAAGAGTTTGGACTCCACCAATCCACAGTCAGACAGATTGTGTACAAATGGAGGACATTCAAGACCATTGTTACCCTCCCCAGGAGTGGTGGACCAACAAAAATCACTCCAAGAGTAAGGCGTGTAATAGTCATCGAGGTCACAAAGGACCCCAGGGTAACTTCTAATCAACTGAAGGCCTCTCTCATTGACTGATGTTAATGTTCATGAGTCCACCATCAGGAAAACACTGAACAACAACGGTGTGCCTGGCAGGGTTGAAGAAGGAAGCCATTGCTCTCCAAAAAGAGCATTGCTGCTCATCTGCAGTTTGTTAAAGATCACGTGGACAAACCAGAATGCTACTGGAAGAATGTTTTGTGGACGGATGAGACCAAAATAGAACGTTTTGGTTTAAATGAAAAGAGTTACGTTTGGAGAAATGAAAACTCTGCATTCCTGCATAAGAACCTTATCCCATCTGTGAAGCATGTGTGTGGTGGCATCATGGTTTGAGCCTGTTTTGCTGCATCTGGGCCAAGACGGTTTTCCATCATTGATGGAACAATAAAGTCTGTATTATATCAGAGAATTCTAAAGGAAAATATTAGGACATCTGTCCATGAACTGAATCTCAAGAGAATGTGAGTCATGCAGCAAAACAATGATCCTAAACACACAAGTCGTTCTACCAAAGAATGGTTCAAGAAGAATAAAGTTCATGTTTTGGAATGACCAAGTCAAAAAGTCCAGTCCAGATGTTTTGGAAGGACCTGAAGCAGCAGTTGATGTGAGGAAACCACCAACATCCAGTGTTGAATCTGTTCTGTATGGAGGAATGGCCCAAAATCCCTTCAAGCTGGTCTGCAGGAGTCACACATCTACCAGATACTGAAAGCAAAGGTTTACTTTTGTCACTCACAAATATGTAATATTGGATCATTTTCCTCAATAAATAAATGGCCAAATATAATATTTTTGTCTTCCGGTAATTTGTTTAGGTTCTCTTTATCTACTTTTAGGACTTGTGTGAAAATCTGGTGATGTTTTGAGTCATATTTATGCAGAAATATAGAAAATTCTAAAGGCGTAACAAATTTTCAAGCACCACTGTAGGTGTCAAAACAAAAGTTATGTATGTAACTACGGTTCTATGAATCCCGGATGACCGCCAGATGGTGTTGCTGAAAGCACTGAATGTTCCCTTTGTGCATGCGCTGTTCGAGTAATAATACCAACGGAGTCACAGGTGTGACACAGATGACCAATCAGAGGTTATATAGCCTGACGTCTTTCGCAGCTCTGCTCCTACAGAATCTTCTCGCGAAATGCAAGGATTCTGAGTGACAGAGAAGCTCTGGCGGTCATCCGGGATTCATAGAACCATAGTTACATACATAACTTTCGTTCTATTTCATCCCTCCTGACCGCCAGAAGGCGGTGCTGAAAGCACTGAATGACTAATACCAACGATGTCACAAGGAATCCTAAGCACACACCTCACTGAGGAGGCCCAGAGGACCCTTGTAGAAGAACCTTGCCCAGGGGATGAGGGGTGGCGACGTTAACGCTGTAAAATCTGGTGAACGTGCTTGGGGAAGCCCATGATGCGGCAGCACATATTGCTTCCAGCGGAACCCCTCTCAGGGCAGCCCAGGAAGCGGAGACGCTCCTGGTAGAGTGTGCCTTCACGCCGACCGGCAGGGGGCCGTGCCCTGCAGCATAGGCATGGCAGATGACATCCACGATCCAGTGGGAGAGGCGCTGTTTGGAAAGAGGACAGCCTAACCTAGGGCCTCCGTTACACACAAACAGCAGGTCTGAATGTCGTATCACGGCAGTATCTGCAATGTATGCCTCCAGTGCCCTCACCGGGCACAATAATCCAGACCCCTCACCAGGCCTAGGCTGACAACGTGCCAGCCTCAACGGTTGGTTACAGTGAGAGTAAGATAACACCTTTGGTACAAATGCAGTGTTTGGCCACAAGGTAACACCAGAGCCCTCAGAGCCCCACCTGAGACATGAGGGGCTGACTGAGAGAACATGTAGCTCGCCGACCCTCCTTGCTGAGGCAATAACCAACAAAAAAGCCGTCTTACATGAAAGCCACTTGAGGTCCGCCTGCATCAGAGGCTCGAACGGAGGGCGGCGCAGAGCTTCGAGAACCAAGGGCAGATCCCAACCTGGTGCTCGTGGAACTGTCAGCGGGTGCGACCTACGAGCACCACACAGAAAAAGAGACTAGATTATGGCTCCCTACCGTACAGCCATCAGTGTCAGCGAGATTAGATGATATTGCCGCTACATAAACTTTAAGCGTCGAAGGAGAGCGACCCTTACCAAGGAGAGACTGGAGAAACTCCAGAATGGTGGGTACTGTACAGGAGACTGGATCCTCGTTGTGATCAGAACACCATTGGGAAAACAGACCCCACCTGTTTTCGTACTGCTGACGAGTAGAGGGTGCTCTGGCGCCAGGATGGTGCGTCTGACCACTGACCACTTCCCTGTGACACACTACCTTGTCACAGGTCAGTCGGGGGACCATGGGGACACCCCTGGACAAATAATCTTCGTCCCTCCATGGAGTCAGGGCATGAAGACATGACCACGTCACTGTGAGCTTGCAATGCCTGTGCAGCCTGGCATCCAGGCGAAAGCTGTTGAGCCACCTCTGCAAGGGGCGAGGTGACAGCAGGCCTAAGGGCACCACCAGAGTGACTGATGTCAGCTTGCCGAGTAGTTGTAGGAAGGCAACATAGGGGAGCTGTCTGCCCAGCCTGAACCGACTGACCAGCTGGAGTATGCCGGCCACCCTTTGAGCGAATGGGCGAGCTCTCATGGAGGGTGAATCCAGAACCACCCCAAGAAAGGTGATCGTCTGGGAAGGGATCAGGTAGCTCTTCTCCAGGTTGACATTGAGGCCCAACTGGGACACATGAGCGAGCAGGCGGTTCGTGTCGTGAAAGGCACTGGCCCGAGACGGGGTGCAGAGAGGCCAATCGTCTAAGTATGGCAGAACCTTCACTCCGCAGGCCTGCAGAGGAGAGAGGGCTGCCTTCACGCACCGAGTGAACACCCTCGGGGAGAGAGAGAGCCCAAATGGGAGTACCCAGAACTGCCAGTGGTGACCCCGATAGGCAAACCTGAGAAAGCGGCGATGTTCTGCCGCAATAGGCACATGAAAATACGCATCTTTCAGGTTTATAGACATGAATCAGTCTCCCCTCTTGACAGCTTGAAGGACTTCTGTTATCGTGAGCGTGTGGAAGGGCAGCTCCCTTAGGTACTGGTTGAGTCCCCTCAAATCTAAAATGAGACGAAACCCGCCCGTCCTCTTTTGCATGAGGAAGTAAGTCCAGTAATAGCCTCTGGGTTGTTGCAAAGGGTCCACTGCCTCGATTGCGCCCTTTGCCAGGAGAGCAGAAAGCTCCTGGTCTAGTGCTCGAGCTTTCACCGGGTCGGCGATTACAATGATCTTGACCCAGCATGAGATATGAGGCCGCAGGTGGAACTGTAGCCGGTAACCATGGGTCAGAGTGGCAACCACCCATGGGTACTTGCCGTGAGCAGCCCAGTAACTGAGCTGCTGGTGGGAGAAATATCCGATGGTCGGCCTGGTGGCATCACCATCTCCCTCCACGGCCCCTAGGGGTTGTGGGGGGGGCGGCGGCCAGAGTCCCTGATCCGAACCTGCCCAGCTGGTTGGTGGACCGACTCACGAAAGCTCCTGTTGGGTCTTTGCTGAACCGCACGAGGGTAAAGACCACCTGGCCAATTATGACCCCCAGGCAGTGGCTGGGCAGGAGGTGGAGCCTCCTGCCCAGAAGGTGGGAGGTCATCGCTGAGCTTGGGGCAAAACTGGGCCAGCCAAGCTACCCTCACAGCACGAGACATGAAGCTGCAATTCATGCAGGGCTTCTCTGACAGGGCCTCCACCAGGTGGTTATGTCCAAGGCAGGCAGGACACAGGTCGTGACCGTCATCTGTCTGGAGCATGGCTCCACAAACTGTACAGCAGTGAGAGCCGGCCATGCTCCTTACTTCAGGCACTTCACTTCAAGTCAATCAAGGTAAAAAACCTGTAGCCAGCAAAGGGGCTGGCACCACCAGCTATGTCCAAGATACAGGACGAAAAATTGGGAGAGGGAGCGTGCACGCTTGCCGTCACCAATTAAGGCAAAGAAACTCAGAAAGGTTAACACCGCTAGCTCAGCTGGTAAAAGAGGACAATTGGGAGAGGGGGCGCAAACGCTTGCCTTCACCATTTAAAACAAGGCCAGAACTCAGCTCAGCTGGTAAAAGAGGACAATTGGAGAGGGGGCAACAATGCTTGCCTTCACCAATTAAAACAAAGCCAGAACTCAGTGAGGCTAGCACTGCTAGCTCAGCTGGTAAAAGAGGACAATTGGGAGAGGGAGCGCGAACACTTGCCTTCACCAATTAAAACAAGGCCAGAACTCAGAGAGGCTAGCACCGCTAGCTCAGTCCAACAGTCAATGGGGTTGGAAAAAATGACTGGGAGAGGGTGCGAAAACGCTAGCCTTCACCAATGTAAACAAGGCCAAGAACTCAGCTGGCTACGTAATAAGCAAACTTCGGAGCACAGTCCAACCGACCACACGGTTGGAGGCCTCCAGTAAACGGGAGCGGAGCGAGCGCCACCGCTAACCAATGGCAAAATATAAGCAAAAAGACTACTCACCGGTGTTGAATCACACACATAGTAGTCAGACTCTGTAAGTTGGGAGGGGCGGAAACCACCATAGAACCCAACGAATCAGCAGAAATACCTTTGAACAGGGTTAAACCATCGCAGCCCCTAGTTGGCGAACATGCTACTCCCGCCAACGGGCAGTCGGGCTTCCGACAACGGTGAAAAGTTCAAAAAAGTTCCAAAGGGCTGAATCCCTGAATTGAACAGTGCGCAAGAAGAAAAAAGGAGCAGAGCTGCGGATGACGTCGAGCTATATAGCCTCTGATTGGTCATCTGTGTCACACCTGTGACTCCGTTGGTATTGTTACTCGAACAGCGCATGCACAAAGGGAACATTCAGTGCTTTCAGCAATGCCCTCTGGCGGTCATGAGGGATGAAATAGAGCTCGTGTTGGGCATCAAAAATTGCACTTCTTGGTATTTTCAGTGGGCAGCACGGTGGCGCAACTGGTAGAGCTGCTGCCTCTCAGCGAGCAGGTCCCTGGTTCAAACCCCGGTCCAGGGGCCTTTCTGGGTGGAGTTTGCATGTTCTCTCCGTGCATGCGTGGGTTTTCTCCGGGTACTCCGGTTTCCTCCCACAGTCCAAAAACATGCATGTTAGGCTGATTGGTAACTCTAAATTGTCCCTAGGTGTGCGTGAGAGAGTGAATGGTTGTTTGTCTCGTTTGTCTCTATGTGTCCCTGTGATGGACTTGCGACCCGTCCAGGGTGTACCCCGCCCCTCGCACAGTGATTGCTGGACATGGGCACCAGCGACCCCCGTGACCCAAAATGGAATAAACGGGTAAAGAAAATGGATGGATGGATGGATGGATGGATGGTATTTTCAGTTAAAATCCCCACACCGGTAGTGACTGGCTGCCAACTGATGCTCATAGCTGCTGCATCCAGCAATATTTCTCTGGACTGTTTTATTTACAGATGTTACCATTCCTGAAAAATACATCTATATGTATACACTCTTGCAGCAGCTCTTTTTTTTTTTCTTGTTTAGTTTTAGCGCCATTTAATGTCAAAAGTATAAAAATTGACAAGGAGAGAATAGTTGGGTTTGAGAAATAACCAGAGATATTTGGTTCCAAATCTTGTCATTATAAAGAAGATGTGGGGAAAAATATTGGCTTGAGATTCAATGATGTGAAAAGAGTTAGTATTTTAAATTTGATCTGAGATTTTTTAGCTCACTTCAGACTGACACACCATATATGACGAGTTTTCAAGAATGTGCTGCTGCGTTCCCTTGTAGCTGTACATCCAATATGTAGTTTTCTGAAAATTCCATCTGCTGGTTAATAAGACATTTTGCTAACAAACAGACAAACGCAGTCAGTTACGTGATCATCCATCTTTCTTGTCAGTAGGCAATAATTATAAGATGGTGTATCAATGAGACAAACTGTCCAGAGCTCGTTGCCGGACAGACCGACTGTAGTGTGCACTCAGAGGCAACATATAAACAAACTTTAAAGCTGTAAACAAATCAAATGTTTTTCTGATTTATTTATTTATTTTTAATCAATTAAAATATCCAGGAAAGGTCTAATGTGCTTCTCTCAGTTCAACTCAATATTTCATTCAATCAAAGGTAATCAAATATGCAAATTATTGATTCACAACTACTAATTACTGCTCAATAGTCAACTAAAGAGTCTTTCAACGAGCGTTTTACTGCAGCGAGTTGCTTCCTGAGTCTGCAGGCTGCTTGGTGAAACATTGTGGTTACAGCGTTGTAATTTAAATCAATAGTGAGGAGGTTTTTCACATCACAAGTTTGTTTAACCTTGATTGATTTTCCACGTCAGCCCATCAGATCTGGTTGCTCTTCATCTGGCAGAAGTTAATGTTCACAAAACATTATTTACACACCAGCTGGATGACTATTGTCAGAACTGTGTTAAACACCCTGTCCTCTTGTCCCCCTGCTGGATGTTTTAGGTACTGTAGGAAAACAAGACGTAGGAGTTCCTCTCTGGAGTTGAGTCTTACCTGTTCTTGTTCAGTGCCTGTAAAAAGAATGCAAACTTTAAGTTAAAATTCACAAAAGGAGTACAGTACATTGGCTGGTGTTCTATTTGTTAACATCTGAAGAGCAGCATGTTTTTTTTTGCTGAACCATCAGGTGGAACCTGAACATTTGTTTTTACTAATTACCAGGCCTGAGTCAGGGTCATTTTCATGGTATGAGTTTATCTTTTGTTGAGTTTTTCTCCTGCTTAAATTTCAATGCTTATTTTTTTTTTTTTTTCTATGATTGTACAGCCTCAGATGGATGAGAAGATCCAGCTGGGCCCCCGGGCTCAAGTCACGTGGGTGAAGGGCAGCAGCGGAGGAGCCAAAGCCAGTGACTCAGGTAAGCTCTATCTCAGTAACATGAAATAATTGTAAACAAAACGAGCAAAACTGCATGAAATCACACAACCCATTATTTTTGTTTTGTGTTTTAGAGAAGTTTATTTCTGTATTTCTGTTTCGCCGTTAACTTGTCAATTTTGAGTCATCAGCTAGAAATGATGAAGCTAAATCTGAGACTTATCGACAAAGATTGCATTAGATAGTTAGTTGCTTTTTAGTTGCTGAAGGACGATGTGCTAAAAATCTGATCTGATGTTTGTGTTCAAGCTAACGTTATCTCAAATGTCACACAGGTCATTTATTCCATGGTAGGTTTTGAAGCTGCAGACTAGATGTGGTCAGAAAATGGGTGAATTTTCAGTTAGTCTTGATGGTTCTGACTGTATGTGATCAGTGATCTGTGCTGCCAGTTTCACATCCTACAAAGAGCTTGTCAGTTTTGTAACTATTATTTATCACCAGTGTGAGTTTTAGACTTGAAGATTAATCTTCATTTTCTGAGCTGTCAGCTGATCACCACCTGGTAGTAAGTTGGATCCGATGATGGGGGAAGATGCCGGACAGACTCGGTAGACCCAAACATGTAGTGAGGGTTTGCTGGGAAGGCCCGGCAAAATAACCTGTCAGAGAGATCTTCAACTCAAACCTCCGGGAGAGTTTTAACTGCATCCCAGCTGAGGTGGGGGACATTGAGTCTGAGTGGGCTGTGTTCCGCACCTCGCTTATTGAAGTAGCTGCCTTGAGCTTTGACCGCAAGTCTGTTGGTACTTCTCGCAGTGGCCATTCACGAACTCGTTGGTGGACACCCCGGGTTAGGGAGGCTGTCAAGCTAAAGAAGGAGTCCTACCAGGCCTTGTTGGCTAGTGGGACTCTGGAGGCAGCTGAGGAGTACCAGAGGGCCAAGCGGTGTGTAGCCTTGGCTGTTGCTGAGGCAAAAGCTCGGATGTGGGAGGAGTTCGGTGAGACCATGGATAGAGACTCTCGGTCGGCTCTAAGGAGATTCTGGTAAACCATCAGATGGCTGAAGAGGGTAAGCAGCACTTTACTAACACTATGTTCAGTGAAGGTGGGGTGCTGTTGACCTCAACCAGTGATGTCATCGGGAGGTGGAAGGAATACTTCTCTGACCTTTTCAATCCCACTGGCACATCTTCCATGGAAGAAGCTGAGTCGGGGGACTTTGGAGTTGATCCATCTATAACTGTGGCTGAGGTCGCCGAGGTAGTTTAAAAGCTCTGAGGCGGCAGGGCTCCGGGTGTGGATGACATTCACCCTGATTTCCTTAAGGTTCGGATGTTGTGGGGTTGTCTTGGCTGACACGCCTTTGCAATGTTGCGTGGACATTGGGGGCAGTGCCACTGGACTGGCAGACTGGGGTGGTGGTTCTCCTCTTCAAAAAGGGGGATCGGAGGGTATGCTCCAATTATAGGGGCATCACTCTCCTTAGCCTGCCTGGTAAGGTCTATTCAGGAGTACTGGAGAAGTGAGTCTGATCGTTGGTCGAACCTCAGATCCAGGAGGAACAATGTGGGTTGTGTCATGGCCGTGGAACACTGGACCAGCTCTTTACCCTCACCTAGGGTCCTCGAGGGGTCATGGGAGTTTGCCCATCCAGTCTACATGGGTTTTGTGGACTTGGAGAAGGCATTCGACCATGTTCCTCGGGATACCTTTTGGGGGGTGCTCCGTGAGTATGGGACTGGGGGCCCGTCGTTACGGGCTGTTCGGTCTCTATACAAGCTGCACAAGAATTTGGTTTGCATTGCCAGCAGTAAATCAGACCCCTTCAGGGTGGGAGTTGGACTCCGCCAGGGCTGCTCGTTGTCACCGATTCTGTTCATAACTTTTATGGACAGAATTTCTCTGTGCAGCCAGTGGGCGGAGGGTTTCCGGTTCATTGGCCTCAGGATTCCATCTCTGCTCTTTGCAGATGATGTGGTCCTGTTTACGTCATCTTGCCATGATCTTCAGCTCTCACTGGAGCAGTTCTCAGCCGAGTGTGAAGCAGCTGGGATGAGAATCATCAACTCCAAATCTGAAGCCATGGTCCTCAACTGGAAAAGGGTGGATTGCTCTCTTTGGGTCAAGGGTGAGGTTCTGCCTCAAGTGGAGGAATTCAAGTATTTCTGGGTTTTGTTCACGAGTGAAGGAAGAATGGAGCGTGAGATTGACAGACGAATTGGTGCAGCGTCTGGAGTATTGTGAACTCTGTACTGGTCCGTTGTGGTGAAGATAGAGCTGAGCTGTAAGGCAAAGCTCTCTTTTTACCAGTTGGTTTACGTTCCTACCCTCACCTATGGCCATGAACTCTGGGTAGTGACCGAAAGGATGAGATCATGGATACAGGTGGTTGAAATGAGTTTCCTTCGCAGGGTAGCTGGACTCTCCCTTAGAGATAGGGTGAGAAGTTCAGTTATTCGGGAGAGACTCAGAGTAGAACTGCTACTCCTCCACATTGAGAGGAGCCAGTTGAGGTGGTTCGGGCATCTGGTAAGGATGCTCGCTTCGGGCATGTCCAACTGGGAGGAGACCCCGAGGAAGCCCCAGGACACACTGGAGAGACTATGTCTCTTGTTTGGCCTTGGAATCCTCCCAGAAGAGCTGGAAGAGGTGGCTGTGGAAACAGACGTCTGGACCTCCCTGCTCAAGCTGCTGGCCCCGAGACCCAACTTTGTAACAAGCGGATGGATGGATGGATGGATGGATGGATGGATGGATGGATGGATGGATGGATGGATGGATGGATGGATGGATGGAA